TATTATCAATAAACATATCATTATATCACTAAATCAATTGAGCTGCTTTGCTTCTAGTTTTATCATGAATATACTATCATGTAGATTATAAATCTTGAATTAAACTGAATTGAGTCACTACGTAAACTTAAAAGAATCACCACTTGAACACCCTGTCTAACAGTCGCAATTCGCAAGGATTGCACGTTAACAATATAAAGTAGAAAAGTATTCGTATTAGTATTTTCTGTAATAGTAACAGTATTTATTATTAATAAGATAGTTATTATGAGAAGCTACCAAGGCAGCTTTCAATTTGTTTATACAAAGTATCAGTAATAAGAATGAAAGACTGAACATCATGAGAATTTAGAAGATTTTTATTTAGGAATACTTGTTAAAAATTGACGCAAGTACTGAAAAGATTGTTGATAATATTAGTGAATGAGAAAATGTGTTATTATTGTTGATGGCAAATGGCAATGAGTTATTTATTCGTCTTTATTTGTAAAGGGGCTGAGTATTCAGAAGTATTAATATATGAATACATTTTATCTATGATTAAGATTTTAGGAAAAAATGCTTGGATATGTACCCTAGCTTTCATTGGAGTGATTATTTTAATGTTAAAAGCTTTTTTTAAGACGTTCAATCTATCTTGAAAGAATGCCAAAGCTTATGTTAAGAATATAAGTTAATTTGTAATGGTCTTAAGTTATATTATAATGAGCTTTTTAAAGTTTGGATCATGCATCGATCCTCCTTAAACTGTCCCTTTTGAAAGGTTTTTGGTATTCTTGTTGAAGTTAGTTGAATTTTTATAACTACACCATATCCTTTGAACATTTCAAGATCTATGTCATCAGGTATGTCATCAGTCTAGTAACCTCTTAGTCTTTAGGTCTTGACTTTTTAGATATAGTGTTAGAGTTATCAGAAGATTTTTGTTTGAGAGAAATTAGAGCTTTAACATTATCTTGTGCAGAGATATTCAGTTTAGATTTGATAGCATCAACAAAAGTAACATTATCTCTAATAGTATCTCATTAAGGTTGTATTTTTAAAGTAATATAATTATTGAATTACGCTAGCTAGAAATGTTAGTAGAGTTATTGCATATTACAATCTTTAGGAGCTAGTTTCCCTTTAGGACAGTTTGTAACATTGTGATGAATAGAAAAGTAGATCGCATATAGTTTCTGTTTATAATCTGTTCATTTAACTTTCTTTTCATTTAAAGTAAGGTCAGTAATTTTTTTGCAATCTCATATAGTGCAGCCAAGGTGAAGTATAAATAGGCATATTATAGATATTTATAATTAGACTGAGCCTGAGAGACAATTCAGGCTGTAGCCTCTGCTAAGTAACCAATATCTATAAGGTTATATGTAGTAGTATTACGTGAAAGGTTAGTGAGTTTGATCAAGTGTTTAGATTTTTCTTAGATCATATCATATAAAACGTTATAATAATGGAATCTAATCATATCATTGAGGAAATAAATGCATCTTCTTTATCGAGTTCATTAAAGTTAGCATTTTTGTCAAAGGTAATAGTAGTTCTTTGCCACAAGTTGCAGTTTTCATAATAATGTAAGTGATCATATCGTATTTGAAAAATAATTTTTTTAGGTATAGTTTAATGACATTGAGTGGAATTTCAGTCATTGTGATAGAAAGTTCTGGAATATAAGGAGCTTGTTTTTAAATGACTAATGGAAGGAATGTGACATTTTCTAATTGTGAAATTTGCATTTTGCAGAAATTATCTTATTTTTCTTTGCTCAATAAGGCAAATTTGAGGATTATTTACTTAAGATTAACAGGAGATTTATCACATATTATTCCTGAAAGAAAAGTAGCTCTATGTAGTGTTGATTGATAATCTCAGTGATCTTTTGTTAGGGGTTTTCACTATAGTATTTTTCGAATAAATAGTATGCGAAAAATTTTTCAAAAGAATGATGATCAGTAAAAGCAAGAATATCTTTCTTTATGGCAATATTATTTTCTGAGAGGTCTGAGCTATCATTAACGTTTATAGTGTTAGGTAAAACTGTGTTAGTTGTTAGAGTGACTCCTTTTCTTTGCCTTTACTAGTAACTAAAGAAGTTTCAACAGGTGTTGTTAACTTCCATATCATTTTCTGGAGTAGTGTTATTTATTTGGGCTACTAAAGATGTTATAGATTTAATAGTTTGCATGATATTTTGTCTATTATGTGATTGCTGAACAGTTTTTGATAACGCTGAGCGATCGTGATTGTTATTTTTATTTCTGCTATTTTTTGGAAATAGTATTTTATAATAAAAAAATAAGTTATTAGAAATAAATTAATAATAAATCTATTTTAGTCTAATAATTATTTAGTATATTTTATCTACAAATAACTAAGACATTGAAAAGAAAAGACTAAAATTTTTGAAGGATTATGATATAATTTAAAAAGAAATAACTTATTAATTATATATTTATTATATTATATGATAGTTTTATTATTTATAGTTTTATTTAAATTTGAATATTCAGCAGTTTTAATATAATATTAAACAATAACAGTATTATATTTATTAAACTTTTAATTATTTTACCAATAATTTTATAATTTAAAAGAGAATGATAAGCTGCAACAAATTTCTTTTTTTTTACTATTTAATTTAAGTTTTATGCTTTCTATATCTGTATAGCTATTATTATAAGAAACTAATCTAAAATTATTTTTTATTAATCTATTATTACTACTAGTTAAAACAATATTAAAGATTATATTATAAATAGTAAGACTATTTTCTTTTCTACCTATATCTTTATAAAAATATTTATTAATAATATTTCTCTAATTTAATAAATAAGTTTCTTTTTTATTAAAAAGTTGATCTAAAAAAATTAAATTATATTTTAAAATATTTTAAAATTTTTTTTCAATTTGTAAAAAAATTTAAAAAAACTACTATATAGTATTAATATTAGTATTCCCTTTGCAAAATATCTTCTTTGAATAGTAACAGATACTATTCAATTACCAAAAAATAAAATTTTTGATTAATACTAAGGTATTAATAAATTAACTAATTAAATTGATTAACATGTTGATCAAATTTACCGCAATAATACTAATCAAATTTATCACAATAATATTGATCAATTTGATTGATTGTAATATATTAAACATAAAAAACAAAATTTATTATTATATTTTATACTTTATTAATATTAAATATCATTATTTATTAAATAAATATGATTATTATTTAATCCATTTATTATCATAATCTTCCTTCTCATAATAATTATTATTAATATCATTACTTCTATCATTTTCATTAATATCATCTAAAATTTCTATTTTATCATTTGATTTTGCTTATTCAAGATGTTCATAATTAAAAATTCAATCATTTTTTATTTTATCATGTTTGTTAGAAATATCACAGCATTTAAAAGATTTTTAAATTAAACTAATATCAATCACATTTCATGATCTATTAATCCAATATATAACAGTTTCATAAGATGATCTTTTGATTCTACTAGGAGGGTTAATTCTTTTAAAGATTCAGACATCCATTCATTATATTTATTTTTCATCTATAAAAAATAAATTTATAAATATAATTAAAATTAAATACAAAAATAAAATAAATAAAATAAAAATAAATTTTAATAAAATTAATAAATCTTATCTTTGATTTAAATAATTTATTGATTGAAATATCTAAAGATTATAATTGAGATGTTAATTCTTCAGGAATAATAGTAATATTAGCTTTTTTTTCCAAAACGCTTTTTAACAGAATTAACAATATGTACTGAAAATGAATTTAAAACTAATAATAATTATAGATTAAAAAGTCTTTCAGCACGTTTATCTAAATATTTTTAATCTAATATAATATTTCATTTATATTCATCCATTTAGTTGAATTAGTATGAATAATAACTTCTTGTAGAAAATTTCCTTTTGAATTTTTTTAAGTTTAAAAATTACAAAAGAAAAAAGTTTAGTTTTATTTGCCATACAGGTTAAAACTACTGTAAAATTAGTTTTTTCATGACCTATTGTATGAATACTAATAGTTTTTGATCCTATTTTGTCAGTAGTATTATTTGATAAATCAAATATTAATGAAGTTTCATCTATATTACCAATAAATATTAAGGGATAATCATATTATATTTACCTATACATAACAAATACTAAAAATTCTTGTTGTTTTTCATATAAATTATTTTGTAAATGCTGAGCGATAATAGTATAACAATGATTACTTAAGTTGTTATAGTCTATTAAATTATCTTACTGGTCGAAGTGATGTGATATGACATATATTTATAAACGATAAATTTTTAGACATGATCCATTTCCTATTGATTTATTATTAAAATCCATTAAATTTATACTACAGAAATATGGTGAAAACTTGTCCCATTTCTATACAGTTTCTATGACATTGATATTAACAAATATGCTTCAGATTTCTGATTGAGATATTTGATATATATTATAATGAAATGTTCAATAAAATCTTAGGTATATTTGAATTTCTGATTGAAATATTTGGTATATACCATTATATATATCTTGATTACATTCGCTATAATATGTTATTATATATATTTATTATTGCAATATAAATAGCATAACAAGTATGAAGGTTGATGCGATAAATTTAATGTATTGTTATGCGAATGGTGATAGATATCCAAAACTAGGTAATATATTTGTCGATAAATAGCTGAATATTATGAATGAAAAAAAATATAATTAGATCAATAAACAAACATACTAGTTCATGAGGAAGTTTTAGTTTTGAAATGGGTAACTTGTGATATATGTTTCGTATTTAATTTACGTCATTTTATAGTCTTCGTAGGAGGTTCAGTCAGTTTCGCAAAATTACTAACATCATTGGTCTTATCTTTAGATAATAGTTTCATATTTAATTTACATTATTCTACAGTTTTTGTAGGATCAATTAGTTTCATAATATCATTGTTGGTCTTATTCTTAAATGATGCTCATTATTTTTCATATTTAATTCTCGCATTATCATTCTGCTTTCTAATGCTATTGTCTGATTCAACTAGATAAGAAAAGGATTGTTCAGATATGTTATTAGGATTAAGACTAGGCCTAGTAGAATATATTTCATGATTAGATGAAATATCAGAATGTGAATCAATAATATATTGTAGATCCGTTGATATCTATAAGTATAAAATTTTAATCATAATAATAAATATATTGAGTGAAATTATAAAAGAGAATTTGGAATAATATTAATAAATATTACATGATCATTATCACTAATTGAGAATGAAGTTACACATTGTTCATCAATATTGTTTAATGATTTCATTAAATCGTTCTCAAAGTTTTCTAAAATTAAAAATAATTATTATATATATTAGTTAAAAGTCAAAATATTAGAATATATGTACCTGAAAGCTCTGTAAAGGTAGTATTTAGAGCAGAGATAGCCATGTCCATATTATAGCCATCGATGGTAGATTATTTAGAATTTCTATTATTCCTATAAATTCTTACATCTTGACTTGTAAATTTAGGTTCAGAATCTGAATTGATAGCATTTGAAAGAATTGTATTTATATTAAATAATTTAATAACCTATTGTAGAAAGTTTAATAATATTGGATAGGCTGGGATGAATAGTGCTAATTGATAAAATCTGGTTTTATTTGGAGTTACTATTATGTGTCAGTAGGGGTTTGTTTTTTCACCAGTCAAATTCTTGCATAATTTTAATTGACATTATTTTTCTATTTCATTGTTGATAATTTCACGCATTCGTATAGTCTAAAATCAGAAAACAAACATATTATTTATATAACAATAATATATTTGAAAGTTTAAGATCCTAAAAGTTAATACTTCATCACTATATCAAGGAATAACAGGGACAAAATATGTTTCATCTAGTATTAGTTGATTATCATCAGTGATTTGTCCTTTTTTCAGTTTAACTGTATCTTCATTTTCACTAATTTTAGGTGAAATTAACTCCTATACAAATAATACTTTGACTTCTTTAACTGGATATCCTAGTTTTTTTGCATTAAGTGTATCAATAATATCTCTTCGCATTTGAAACTTCTATAAAATAAAAGAACATTAAATATTTATATTGAAAACTTTATTTGTATTTTCAATTTTTATGATATACAAACCTTTAATATTTTATTATTATGATGGCTATTAATATTCTTAGTCTTTAATTTTTCAAGTGAAGTTTTAAAATATTACATTTTGTTCTAAAGTAAGTATAACAAATCTGACAAATTGATTCTTCTATTCACATTTCACCTTTTTCTAAAAAGAATAAGATAAACTAAGAAAATAAATCAATAATATATATTTATACTTGCTAAAATTTTCTTCTCAAGATTCATATTCTTTCATGTAAAATATCAAATATGCTTTAAGAATCCTTTGATTAATTTTATGAGTGAAGGATTTGGAATAATCAAAAGCAAATTCATTTTCAATCACTTCATTGAAATCTTTGTCATCTTGTTCATTTGCCTTTATTTTGCTTCGAATTAAAATAACCAGAGTAGGAGTTAAATCATATAGATTTGGTTTGCTTTATTATTATTATGATTTTTGTTTATAATCTCTGATTCTGAATCTGCTATAAGTAAATCATCGATAGATTTGAATTTTCTTCTCTTACAAAATCCAGTTGTGGTTTGAAGGCTACGTTATTGATTTTCTATGCAAATTTTTAGTTTAAATATAATATCATTCATCGCATTTTCTTGGCTTACTTTTAATTGCTCAATTATACTTTCAAGTGATATTATGTTATCATTAACAGAATTCTTTTGTTTTTGTATCAAAGTTGTTAATTCAGTTATATTATTTTGAAAGATTTTTTTAATTTGTTAATATTTTTCAAAGTTGTAGATACTGTTTTCTCTATCAAACTGATTTTTGTTTTTAAAAGACGCAGACTTGTAAATATATTTGAAAGAAAGGTATTTGTATTCATCTTTCAAGGTTAATAAAATAATAATAAGATTTATTAATAACTAATGAAAGTTTGCAAAGAATAAGAGTTAATAGTTATAAAGAAAAAAAAAAATAAAATTTATTTATATATGATTTATAAACGTCTTTTTTAAAAAATTATAAAATACTAAAAGACAATATATTGATTTGATTGTTGTGTATCATGGGACTAACTTGATGTATATTATCGATTATATATATTTTATAATAGAATATGAATAGGATTGATAAAATGCATGCATGAGGTCCACGTAGAGGGTTAAATCTGATACTTTTGCATATGATTTACTGTATATAGATGGTGATGCATGAAATTTTAAGTTTTTTGTATATAAATTATAATGTAAATAGAATCAGATTATTAATAAAAATCATAATGCTGTAACAGGATTGGATTAATGAACGTGATGCAGTATATTGCAGATCTAAATATCAGATATATCAGACATATTTGATATATTTGATATACTGGACATATTAGACATAGCTGACATATTAGATATATTAGTTATATCTCTCTATATAATATATTTTATATAAATAGGTAACTTGTTAATTCATGTAAAAGGGGAAGATAGCTTGAGTAGTTTTAGCAGTGAGTGAGGTATTGTTAGCTGATGTAGGTAACCAATCCTGAAGGCCTATCACCTTACATTATAGTTTAGAGGCAACCAGGCCTATCACATTATGTTATAGTTTAGAGGTAACCAGACCTATCACATTACGTTATAGTTTAGAGGCAACTAGGTCTATTACATTACGTTATAGTTTAGAGGCAACCAGGCCTATCACATTACATTACAGTTTAAAGGTAACCAGGCCTATCATATTATATTACAGTTTAGAAGCAACCAGACCTATTACGTTACGCTACAGTTTAGAGGCAACTAGGCCTATCGCATTACATTTTAGTTTTAGTATTACTCTTCCTTTTTTTCTTTATTATTATTTTACTCGTGAATAAATACAATATTTACAAATACACACTACTAGCAATCTGTTGAATTGTAACTCGTTGTGATAATATAAATACTTTGATAAATCATCTGCGTTAAAACTTTTAAACTGTTGAAAGATTACTGCTCAATTAAAAAGAACAAACCGCTTGAATATCTCGTCTAACTGTCGCAATTCGTAAGGATTGCACGTTAACAACAACAAAATTATAACAAAATTTATAAAAACAAAAAGATAAAATTGATTTATTTTATATAAAAATTTGGCAAAAAACTGTTAAATTTTAAATAGTTTTAGATAGTTTTAGAATTTACTATTAAGTTAGAATCTTTAGAATTTATATTAATTTGATAAGTTAATCTATCTTTTATACTTCTTGATATTATTTTTTTATTAAATATTTTATAATTAAATATGCATTTTAATAAGCTAACTTTTGCTGAAATTATTTTAACTATATGATTTTTGTTAGATTTATTAATGGAAGATTTGGTATTATACTTATTTTATTAGACTTATTTTGTTAGATTTATAATAAAAATAGTTAATTAATGATCTAATCTATGCAAAAAGCATTCCTAATATATTATTTTTTTCATTAGATTTAAGAAAACTATTAAATTTATTTAATAAAGGTATTGAGATTTTTAGATTTATCTTATTAGACTTATAATAAAAATATGTTAACTAATAATCTAACTTATGCAAAAAGCATTCTTATTATAGTTGACTCCCTATATAATTACATTCTATATAGTTACTTCTCTCTTATAAGCATAATTTATTAAACCAAAATTAATAATAAACACTTCAAAAATTCTTTTTATAGATATATTATATAACTTTTTTATTTTTGAGAGGTATGACTATATAGGAGGTTGACTGTATATACTTTTGATAGACTTATTAAAATGTTGGTATAAAAATTAATAAGCTAGAACTCTAGTTTAGTAAAAAATCAATATTAATTTCAAGTGAATTACAAAATATACAATGTTAAGGGAATATTAAAAATTTCATTCCAAAATCTCTAAAATAATATTATGTGATTTATAATAATCTAGAATAATTAAAAGAATAGATTATGATAATACAGTTCCCAAAAGTAATGGCGGTCAGTTTTAACCTTATACATGTAATTTTATATCAAATATAGATAAATTTTTTTTAAAATAAAGATAAAAATAATATTTATAAATTTTATTAGATAATTAATATGAGTGTGTCTTCCATTTGCATCAATTTTTTTCTCAATTTTTTTTTTAAAAAAACAGCCCAAATATTGTACGTTTCTATTCCAAAGGAACTTTACGACTTCGCGACTCATTTTAATAGGTGTTGATAGTATTGTGATTTCGGTGAGTAATAAAAAAAGTTCAAATGGGTTTTAATTTATTTTTTTTATTGTTTAATAAACAGTCCATTATTTAATTTTGTCTAATAAACAATGGCCCAAATTAGGATAACGGAGATGCTGTGGGGACTGTATTGAGATAAAGAAAACAATCACATAATTATAATTAATAAAAGAATTTTAAACATTGGTAGATCATATTTAAAAAGATAAAATTATGAATCACAGTCATGGTTAGTAGCAATACGATGTAAAGATCCATCAAATCAAAATAACAAAATAATTTAAAGAATTTAATACAAACTTTACATGATGTTACTAATGTAATTATTATTATATTTAATAAGTTTTAGGTTACAGCGCTCATTAAAATATTTCCAAAATTGGCTTTTTCTTTTTTTAATATACAAAGGAGGTATTGAATACGATTGACGATTCACAGAATATTTATAGACGTATTAACTAAGTATCATATGATTGGATGTGTCAATGATGGATCATTCCAAAAATGCAAAGCCCGCTATTTCCGACTGGGTAACAAGCCGCTTGTAATAAACCTTTTCCCCCTCCAAAAAGTCAACTTTAACAAAAAGGAACTTAACTTTTTAATTTAAAATTACTTCGTTTTATCTTTTTAAATAAATTAACAATACTCAATACATAAGAAGTAATTACTATTAAGCCAGTATAATAACATAATAACAAAAAAATGAGTAAATATTCACGAGTAAGTTCATATGAGCTTTTAAATGAAGGAAAACATATATTTACGTTACCTGATTACAAGATTAACTTTTTCAAATTTTTAGGTACCTAACGCCGAAGAAGACACTCAAGTCGTTGAACTTCAGGTTCCTCCTTTGGCGGCTGAAGCTTCCACCTCCCGTTCTCCAAGTCCCGTTCCCTCTACAAATAATAATGTTGATAATGAGATAATAGAAACAGAGTCTACACCAATGGTAACCGAAAGTGTTAATGAAACAACGTCTGATGATGATGAAAATCATGAAACCAATGATGGAGGATCTAGATTGTCTATACTGAACAAGATAAAGAGAAAACCAAATGCTACACAACCAGCTGCTTTACCTGTAGTAACTGATGGTGTATTTTCAAACTTATCCGCAAAACCCGATACAGAAGCCGATAAAGAAGAAGAAAATCCACCGGTAAGTTAAGTTGTACTTTTTAATAAAAGTTCATTCAATGATTTTAAAATTTTTTTTTTTTTTTTGCTTTATTATTAGCCATACGAGGCAGCCGCCGCTGATGCAGCGCCACCTTATTGGGAAACGACTATCATTGCACCAGGGTTAAGTGGTGATGAGATTCTTGTTGAAGGTTTACCAGTAGGGAATTTTTTCAGTTTCATTTGGAATATGCTTGGTAAATATGAGCACTAATTTATAAATGTCAATTATGTGAATTTGTTAATAAAATTTAAAATTTAAATTTTTTTAGTTTCCATGAGCTTCCAATTCGTTGGGTTCTTGCTTACTTATCTTTTACATACCAGTCATGCAGCCAAGGTAAAAATTTTTTTATTGATTTCTGATGTTTTATTATTAATATTTTTATTTTAATATTTTTTTTTTTTATTTTTTTTTTTAAAATAACAAAAAAGAACGGATCCCGAGCCGGTTTAGGTATTACATTGGTACAATATGGTTTCTACCTTCGTGGCAGAACATTACAAGATGATGGCACTTATTATTATGATGATGATATAAATGATAAAGAGATGATGGCTCGTAATGCATGGTTAAGGTTTGTTATATTTATTGAAACTTGTATACTTTTTTTTTTTTCCTTTTAAAATAATTTCTAATTAAATGTTATTCACGATGACGATGATGATGATGATGATAATTAGTTATATTCTTATGTTTTTGGGTTGGTTCATTGTTATTCGAAGTGTATCAGATTTTATAAGAGTTAGAAGGATGGAAACAGTTGTGCGCACCACTCCTGAAGAGAATGTGTAATTCGTTTCTCAAATTTTATCAGACAATTCATTACCAAAAAAAAAAAAATAATAATATATATATATATATTTTTTTTATGTTTTATTTTCTTGTATTATTTCTTTTTTATTATTTTTATTTTTTACTTCAAAAGTTTACCCTTTACATTTTATTTTTTTTTTTTTTTTTCCTCTTCTCTTAAAATAATATAAATCACTGTAAACAATTTCTTCATTTTTTTTTTTTTTTTTTTTTTTTTTTACTATTGGTTGAATAATTTGTTTAAATGACAAATCATTTTATAATAATGTTCGCAGTAGATTTTTTTCTACTATTAAGTTCCATGTTTAATCGAAGCAATTTAAAAGATCTTTTTTTTTTGATGTTCTTTAAATAAAATACTTATGGTAGAGAAATTATAGAAATTTTTAAACATTTCCAAAAGTGATTTATCCGATTATATGTTATCACGTGAAGGTCTAATATTTTACACCATGAATTACCAAAAAAGTCCAAAACAATGAATAGCACGTGTCATGCTAAAATTCTGCAGTCGTTGGAATAATTTCCATTATTATATCAAAGTTTGTGACACACCAACAAAACTTAAAAAAAAAGGGGAAATTTCTTTTCCCCCAGAAAAGTTGAATCACAAAAGTACAACAAGTTTAATCGATTGGTAATGAATGCTTTCGTTAAATCTGATGGCTCTGAATCTGTTCGCTTTAAACTTGTTTTGCGCCCCAATAACACAAGTAAGTTAAACCAACTTGTTAAGATTTTTCAATCCTGACTAAATAATTTGCATTATTTGCATTGTTATATCGGATCAAAATTATTCCCTTAATCATGTAAATCATGATCTTTTTTTTCTTTCCAAAAATAGAAATAAATCCTCTCAACTTATGATCAAAAGAATCGAAAAATAATAAGTTGACCGAACTCAAGATCTATATACTTTTTTGTTTAAATTTATTTTTTTAAGTTTATTACACTGATTGGCATTTATAATATATGTTTTATCTTTGTGTAATCCAATTGAAAAAAAAAAAAAAGATTTACCACACTATCGAAACAACACAGCCGTTTCTTATTTTCAAAAAAAGAATTCGTCAAAACTTCTGTTACTTCATCCCTAATATACTGGAAAATTTAAAAAATTCTTAAAATTCTTATACTCACACTTTCTCATAATTAATATATTTTCACGAAAAAATCACTTTTATTTACTTAACTTCCGCTTCATTAGAAGCTTCTTTTTTTTTTTCATTTTATTCATTCTCTTCTTTCTTCTCTTTCATTTTCTTTTCCTTTTTTATATATTTCTCTTTCTCTTTACCTATCTCAACTGAATATTAAATGTCTGGAAATAACAAGAATAACAAGAATACTGTTGGTGTTCCATATCAAAGCAATGAAGGACACGAACAAATTTCTCATCAACGAAATAGATATGACCAACTTTCAACTCGTCGCTTGTCCAGAGAAGGTCATCATAGCTATACTTTTGTCAATAATTACCTTCGTAATAATAATGTTCCTCGTAGTGAATTCAACAATGATCAAGCTGTTCCTCGACACAAAGAACCTTACAACAGTTATAAATCTTCTCGTCGTAATGAACCTTCCAACGTAGATCAATCTTCTCATCACCATTCCAATGTTGATCAATCCCTTCGTAAAGATTCTTTCAACAATGACCAATCTACTCATTCCCACTGTAATGAAAATTTCAACAATTCTCATCGTCATGAGAAGTTTAACAATGATCAATCTGCATCTCACCGTAATGAAAATGTCAAATATGATAAATCCTGCCGTAATGAAAGTTTCAACAATGATTCATCGAATCCTCGACGTAATGAAAATTTCAAAAATTTCAACAATGATCCATCTTTTCCTCGTCGTTTCAACAATCATCCATCTGTTCATCGACGTTTCAACAATGATCCACGTCATTTCAACAATGATCCTCGTCGTTTTAACAATGATTCATCGACTTTTCGTCGTAGTGAAAGTTTCAAAAATAATTATTCTGCATCTCACCGTAATGAAAATTTCCAATATTCCCGTCATCATGAAAAGTTCGACAGTGATCAATCTTTTTCTCCTCGCGGTAATAATTTCAAAAATGAACAATTTATTCCTCATCGGAATGAAAATTTCACTTGTGGTCAATTTGCTCCTCGTCATAAGGAATCTTTCCATAGTGACAAATCCGTTCCTCCACGACCTTTCGGCAATGAACAATCTGCTCCTGCTCGTAATGAAAATTTAAAAAATGATCAATCTGTTTCTCATCGTAAGGAATGTTTCAACAATGATCAATCTGCTACTTCTCGCCGCAATGGGAATTTCAACAAAGATCAGTCTGCTTCTCCTCGCTGCAATGATAATTTCAACATTGATCAATCAGCTTCTTTTCGCCACAATGAGAATTTCAACAAAGATCAATCTGCTTCATATCGTCGCAATGAGAATTTCAACAAAGATCAATCTGCATCTCTTCGCCGCAATGAGAATCTCAAACTAGATCAGTCTTCTTCTCCTTGCCGCAATGAGAATTTAAACATAGATCAATCTGCTTCTCCTTGTCGCAATGAGAATTTAAACATAGAACAATCTGCTTCTCCTTGTCGTAATGAGAATTTAAACATAGATCAATCTGCTTTTCCTCGTCGCAATGAGAATTTAAACATAGATCAATCTGCATCTCTTCGCCGCAATGAGAATTTCAACATAGATCAGTCTTCTTCTCCTTGCCGCAATGAGAATTTAAACATAGATCAATCTGCTTCTCCTTGTCGCAATGAGAAT